TTTTTTTTTTTTTTTCACCCATTCAAATAAAGCACTTATGAGGTTAGAGTCAATTACATCCTATACATCTTAAACTGCATATTTAGACTGGCCTTAGCTGGGTCGAAAGTTTTGTTTTCTTTGACGTTTCAGTTTTACTGAGGTACAATTGACATGTGAAATTGTAAGGTATCCGAAGTGTCCATTGGGATGGTCTGATATGTGAGTACATTTGTGAAATGGACTCCCCCCCACCCCCCCCCCCCAGCTGGTTACTTAGCACATCCGTCACGTCACATAGTTATCTTGTGTGTGTGTGTGTGTGTGTGTGTGAGAACGTTAAAGTTCTACTTTTCTAGCAAATTTCAACGATACAATACAGTGTTGTCAACTGTCGTCACCACGTTATACGTTAGATTCTCGGAGCTTGTTCTTCATATAGCTCCAAGTTTGTGCCCCCTTTCCAACCTCTCCCTGTTTTCCCCACACTCCAGCCCCCGGGCAACCACTTTTGTGCTGTTTCTATGAGTTTGCCTTTCGTTTGTTTGTTTTGGTTTGGTTTTTAAGATCCCACCTTACTAGGACGTTTTTAAAGATCTCTTTTCTCTATGACGCTAATGAAATGTTTGTCAGGTACTTTTGCCGTCTTGTAGACACAACAGTCATGGGGGAACCTCCCTTTTCTGTGGGTGGTTCTCTAACAAAGGGTTCAGTAACTTCTTGAGTTTTTTGATTTTGGACTTGGGGTTGTTGATTTCTCCCTTTGGTGTCCTCTGTGGTTCTGGAGGTGTAGAATAATGCCGATGTTTGATGAGACGAGCAAAATGCAAAACAAATACAAGAATAAACTCGGAGCCATCGTAGTCAACTTCACTCAGTCCAGTGTTTTAGAGTTGATGCGATGTACCTTAGAGACTCTGCTTCAGCAGTGACCCTTCGACTTCACGTCTGTGCACCCAATACAGCATTCATTCATTTATTCACCAAATGTTTATTGAGTGCTCTTTTACACCAGCCAAGAGCTCAGATCTGGTGATGCATAGTGCAGTGAGCAAAAGAGATGTGCCTCTGCTCTAAGGGACTCGGAGTCTGGTGGGGGACTCTGACATGAAACAGATACTGACCCACGTAATGTATAATTAAGAACAGAGAAGGGGCTTTGAGGGGGAGAGTGTGGGGGCCACAAGATGTACAACCGGGGAATTTGATCTGGCCTTGATGTCAGGGAAGCCTTCCCAGAGAAGGAGGATTTGAGCCGAAACGCAAATCCTAAATGATGTTAACTGGGCCAAGGAGGCTTTGGGAGAAAAATGTCTTTGCGAGAGAGAACGGAGCACTGAGATGGTGTGTGGGTGAGATGTTCGAATGGAGGTGTCGAGTAGGCAATCAGAGTCCAGAAGGAAGGCTACACTGGAGGTAGATGTGGAAGGGGTCAGTGATGAGGACTGGGATGAGCCTGCGTAGAGAAGAATTCAGACCCCCTCCCCCAAACGTCTCCAGTCCCTCTGCACCTGCTGACTCTCCGTTCTCTGTCCCCAGGACTGCACTGTGAAAACCCACTGTTGTTGGCTTCTCTCTTCTTTCTCTTCCCAAGCCATACCTTCTCTTTTCTGATTATTTCTAGCAAAAGGACCCCATTCTATGCCAAACTGAATGAGAAAATGTCTCCACTGAAAGACAGTATACATACATATTCTTGTATTTATGCCAGAATGTAAGATTAACACTTGATTGAGAGGGCATAATTACATTTTTTAAAATGGAGGAATTTCAGACGCCATGTTAGGTGGCGGTGGGGGTTGGGGGCTGGATTTCTGACAGGAAGGTGTATCTCAGTAGCTTAAATAATGTCTTGTAAAATGCCTTTGAAAATGCCTTGTCATTCTCAGCCCCCCGTTATGGGGTCAAGGTGCTCTGCTTTTCATGACGTTTCCTAGTTTGGAAAATGGATACTGAAGTACGAAGCAGAAGTAAAGATGTGCCAGTAAGCGTTCTAACGTACATACAAGTATGTGTAACACCAGATGTCTGTGTTAATTTGAAAAGATTTTAGAATACATGGGAACATGCTCCCAACTCCATTTATTTTAAGGGAGGCAAGACGCATTCCAGCTGTTGGCACCTTGGGTCTGTATTCAGATGATTAGTGATATACCAAACCCAATATGTTCAAAGCAATATCCCCGCCCCCCACCTTCCCCCCACAACAGTCTGCTCTTTCCCAGGTTTTCAGTTTGCTAAATGGCAACCGCACCCATCCAGGTACTGAGGTCAAAGCCTTTGGAGTCATCCTTGACCCTTGTTGTTTACTCACACCTCCCTCCAACCCATTAGCAAATCTTATCAGCTCCACCGGGAAAAACATACGCAGAATCTGACTGCTTGGGCCCCCCTCTGCCCTCACTCCGCGTTTCCGGTGGGGCCCTCCTTGCCTCGGACCATCAGGGTAGCTTCCTGACCGCTTTCCTGTTCCTGCTCTTGCCTCTCACGCCGCCAGCCCTCTGTCCTGCTCTTTCCTCCACCTGGTAGCCAGAAGGGATCTTTCCGAAAGTCCAATCACGTCATTCTTCTGCTACCATTTCATTCTGGATATAACCCAAATCCTCACCGTTGCCTGCTCTGGGCCCTGGCTGCTTCCCCAAGCTCGTTTCTTTCCATTCTCGGAACACTCCTGTGGTCCCCGCTTCCCTCAAACCTTCCAAGCAAGCTCCCACCCTGTACTGCCGCACGTAACTGCTTCCCTGCCTGGAACATTCCCTCTCATCCCCATATTTGCTTTGGCCGAACCCCGTTTTTCTCCATAATTCTGCTCAGAAGTCACTTTATTTGGAGACACCCTCCCTGACTCCCAGAGACAAAGTAGCACTTTTCCTGTCTGTCCCTTTTTTTTCTCCTTCACTAGCACTTGGTACCATCCGAGATATTATATATCTATTTATTTGCTTGTCTGTCTCTGCCTCGCTAGAATAGAAGCCCTGCAAGAGAGATATTGGCTCTTTTGTTCACGACTCTGTCACCAGCCGTTAAGAATAAACACTCAGCAAGTATTGGGTGAATGAATGAAATGGCCAAATTAACATTTTTTTTTCCTGTTTCTTATTTTTTTTTTTTTAATTGACATATGATTGACATGTAATGTGGTAGTAGTTTCGGGTATACAAGAAACTAAGATCTTAAAAACTAGAACTGCGTGCATAAATATATACACTATAATTATTATTATTTTTTTAAATAAAAGGCTGTTGTGGAAGGCTTTCAAGGAAATTCTCCCATTTTTGTTTGGATGATGTTTTGATACGTTTCAAGGACATTAAAGCATAGCTGAAAAATAACCTAAAATAGAAACATTCCCAGTGTTTTGTTTTGTTTGTTTTTTTTTTCTCCTGATGGTGAAGGGAAGAAGGAGTACCCATGACTTCTCAGTTTCTTTGAAATTTAGGGTCCCCTTTGAAATGTGTACTCTGCTGGGCCCTGGGAAGGAGGTGCTGATTGACTCTGTAGAAGGAAGCAACTTTTATGGTCTTGACGGCTGTTTGATGAAAACCTTTGGTGTCTTTAGTTAATCATATGTATTGG